CATTCGCGACACCATATGCATTGATGCATTCATGAGTGACGATTTCCAGATATCTGCCGTATCCGCCTCAAGGCCCTCCTCCAGCGCATACGTTTCCTCCCCCTGCCCATCGCAGTTACCCATCGCCCTACCCCACGCCGCCTCCTCACTCGCCATCTCCGTACCAGTATCCTCATCATGGTGAGCTACCATTTTCCCTGCTCGTCAAACCGGAGTGAGTACGCACACAACTAACCCATCGCAGGTCACTCGCAGTCATGGAGTGCGCCGGCTCTCCCTCCGCGCCCGCCCCTCGAGGCGCAGCAATTCGGCAACGGAGCACCTTCCCACTACCGCTTCCAGTACTCAGCATGCACAGGGCGGCGCAGAGCCTTGCTGATCGGAATCAACTATATCGGACAGCCGAATCAGCTCCGCGGATGCATCAACGACGTCACTAACATGTCGACTTTCCTCCATGAGCGATACGGGTATCGGCGGGAGGACATGGTCATTCTCACCGATGACCAGAAGAATCCCCTGAGCATTCCTACCAAGGCGAATATACTGCGTGCAATGCAGTGGCTGGTCAAAGATGCGCAGCCGAACGACTCGCTTTTCCTTCATTTCTCAGGTGGGTGGCTGTGTGTTTGCAAGCTGCGAGGAGATACTGAGGGGCTTAGGACATGGCGGGCGAACTCCTGATCTTGATGGTGACGAAGAGGACGGTTAGTCGCCTAGTGTCTAAGTTTGAGCAGAGGCTGACAGAATCAAGGCTATGACGACGTCATCTACCCTGTCGACTATCGGGTTGCGGGCCACATTGTGGATGATGAAATGCACAACATAATGTTAGTCTCTTTCCTCTGGTTAATAGCTTGAAGCTCACCAACGCAGGGTCCGGCCGTTGCGTCCTGGCGTTCGGCTGACAGTGATATTCGACTCCTGCCATTCGGGGACAGCTTTGGATCTGCCATACGTCTATTCAACTCAGGTTAGCTTAGACCCTCTGAAGCTCATCGAGCACCATGCTAACCCCTGCAGGGTATCTTGAAAGAACCGAACCTCGCCAAAGAAGCAGCACAGGATCTATTCAGCGCCATTAGCTCATATGGGAAAGGCGATCTGAGCGGAGTAGCGATGACGGCGATTGGGTTTCTCAAGAAGGCCGCAAAAGGCGACTCGGCCCGTAAGCGGACGGTGATGACCAAGACGTCTCCGGCAGATGTGGTCATGTTTTCAGGTTCCAAGGACACGCAGACGTCGTGAGTGCTCTTGATATCCCTTATTGACTGACATCGTCTCTCTGCAGAGCTGACGGTGTTCTCTAGAGCGGACACATTCCAGGACGGAGAAGCTCGTGGTGCTTTGAGCTGGGCTTTCATCAAGTCCTTGAGACAGTGGCCGAATCAGAGCTATCTGCAGCTACTGAACTCGATTCGAGCACAGCTCGAGGGGAAGTACACACAGAAGCCGCAGCTGAGCTGTAGCCATCCACTAGGTGGGTCAACTCGTACAACATTGATTTGCGAGCTAACATGGCAACAGATGTGAATCTCCTTTTTGTGATGTGAATGATACTCGGGGATATGGATTATGATTGATGGATGATATGACTGTGACTTTTGATAGCAGGGGTTCCATGGACTTTATTGTATGTGTCTAGCGTTCAGACCAGCTGTGAACGTCAAGTACTGTTTCGACTAAATCAAGGCGCATGGGTCATGCGTGCGATCGAAGAGCCGGCATAAGGTTGTTTAGATATCCAACATATGGAGCATAACGAAGTGACAAAGATGTAACAAATGGTCAGATTGGACTCGAATTTCTAGAGTACCTTTCTTCAGGCGTAGATGAAAGTGAATAGCAGCCCCTGTCCAAAGTAAAGGAATGCTCATGGCCCATGTCCTATGTCCCATTCTGATCTCCGTCGCGTCCCCTGCGAGGTTTCGATCACATTTTGGACTTACAAATCTCGTACATATACGAAGTAGCGCGAACCCATTCACTCTGAAATTCTTAGTAGCACAGTACTGCCTACAACCTATTCCGACCGAACAGTCACTGAAAGTTGGGAGCTCAGCGCCAAAACAGGAGTTGAACATGGCTTCGAGTCGCTGGCCAGTTGCTCAATTGACCTTGAGAGTTGAATGAAACAATCCACCACAGCCATGAGATTACTTGCACACCGCTACCCAGAGGTTGTAGCATCCGACCTCCCGGCGATATTTATTGCAAATTGAATCAATACTGCAAGAAAAGTGATGTTGTGGGCTAGCAGCAATAGCGGAGTGGCTGACACCATGTTTCACCTGCAAGGTGGCTGAGCTCTATTTTTATGATCAGACTTGGCATTGATGCATATGCAGAGTTACAAACTGAGTATTCTGCTCATTATGGCGAGTATTCATGCTCTGTATCTCCTCCATTCTAATATGCACTTGTTTCGCATGGATATTTGTAGTGGAGCAGCACTTTCACCGTGTTAAAAGTTCATCCCTTGATTGCACGAAGTGGACAAAAGAGTCTCCACAGGTACGGAGGACCTGTGAAACAGCCCGTAGCCATGGCTGCGGACCATGGATGCAGGAGTGCACATACGTACATGTACCTAAGACATGGGTTGAGAACTTGAGATTTGAGAATCGGAGATCAAGACATGAAAGATTCGATCTTTCACTTTGCTGATGCAAGTCCAATCGCTGCTTGAAATATTTCTGGCAGCGGCGTCAACTGCCGCGTCATCTGGCGCGTTGAACGTTGTCCGAGCAGGCACTCCAATCGGGTTTGCTATCGGGAATCGGCTCGGTTGGTGGCTTAGGTCTTTGCTTCGTAGTGTTTACCCAGTATGCGAAGTGTATACGCAGTTTCGAGTCTACGTCTGCTGTGAGGGGAAGAATCGGAAAGAAGACTGGGGGCAGGAGAGGATGGCTGGAGTACAGTCGTCTGTCGTGCGACTGCGCAAACTCGGGCAATGCTGCTGGAGCAGACTCTTGAAAACAAACATGTACGACTTCGGACGTAGACGGACCGTAGAGACTGGTGACTCCATAGTTCCACTCTTTCCACTTAGCTTCTCTTCTCTCTGAGACCCATGGCCAGTTATTACTGCTCGTTCATCCACGTCTCTCCCACCGGGACACGTCCCAGGCAACTGACAGTGAAAGCTGCAACTGGCAAGGAAAGCCTGTGTGGTGTTTCCTGAGCAGTCTCTCCATCCACAATCTTCGGTCTTGCACACAAGGGCCTTCAATAATAAGCATCATCATCATCAGCACCGCCATATCTTATAAGCAATATGTCAACATCCTCCGCAACAGATTCTTCGCGGGAATCGTACCCCGACAGTCCCGTCTCCCTCTCCAGCCGCAACATCAACAATCCCGTCTTCTCATTCCCCGTCCCCCAATGTCGCCGAACGCGAAGAGACATCCCCAAAGTCCACCGCTACTATTCCACCCCATTGCGAGCAGACTCGCCGAACTCCACCCCACTGCAGCTGTACGGACTCGAACAGCGCGAGCCCTCCATCTACGAGAAACCACGCCTCCTCCGCCGCTTCTCGCACGCCCTCGACGATATCAAGGAGGACTTCTCCCTACAACTCGACCCAAACAACGTGGCCAGCAAGATCCGGAGCAGACGCCAGTCAATGCTGATGTTCGATGCGGCCGCAAGCCCGTCAGACACAGACACAACGCTGCATCACGATCAGCGTCCCATCACGGCGTCTGGCCCGCCGCGCTCGAGACCCCTCTCCATCCTCTCCTTCGATAACTGGGCCCCGCCCACGAGAGGGCTGAGCCATCGACTGTCAACTTTCCGGTTCGGGTCGAGGAGGAAGAGGGCTTCGCCGGCACAGCTCGCGAGCATCTCGCAACCGAACTTGATCGGGTCGTCGACGAATATGTAGCACCCGGCCACGGTTTCAAGCCTTTCCATTGGTCTCACCCTCATCCATATATTTCCGTTCGATGCGACCGCGACGGCTATTCTAGCCTGCATTTTCGCAACGTTCAACTAATCCCTTTCAGCCTTCGGTAAAAGTCTCTTCGGTCCACGCATATATTCATCGTTCTCTGCATAGCTTGGCGTTTGGTGCTGGTGTTGGTGTTGGTGTTCAACAATAATAGACTGTCTTTGGCTCTGCATCTCTTTCCTTTCGTCATCAGAATCAAATATATGTACACAGCTTAGTAGTGAGACTATAGCTATAGCAATAGCTATATCCTCGAGCTTAATCAATCACCTTGGTCTCCCCCTCCCAAAATTAATGGCTTAATGCATGTGATAATCCAGCCACTCAATAACCGCACCAATCACCAACCGATAGCAGGGAAGAAGCCGTTATCAGCTTACACTAAGGTAGCTACTAGCGATAGGATAAGCGCTGCTCGGGTGCCCTAGTCAAGCCTCAAGTATGCTAGAGAGTGAAATCTCACCAATCGCTGCTCGGCTTCTTTATCGATTCTTCTCTTGGTATGGAGGGCGGCGGAGCAGATTGGTTCGCCGCGTGGTTTTCTGTTCTTTCGTTGGTGGAAAAACGAGTTTATATCTATGCTGGAATTATTTTCTTTACGATGTTAAGGTATCATTTGAGTAGTCTAGTTCTCGAGGGCAGACTGCTGGGTTACATTGGCATCGCATTCAGCCTTGAATTTAACCGAAGGCCTCGGTCTCTACGAAGTACGGGGTACAGGGTACTCCAACTGATCCTCCGCAGATCGGTCGCTGTCGATGCAGAAGTTGAGATAGAAGGACCTCTTGTTCTTGAGAAAAGATTGAGTTCTTTATTGTTGTAGAGTCAAAGTGAATGGTATATCTGTGTAAAGTCTAACGCGAATCCAACCCAACCCGTCGCCGTCCTTGATGTAGGTAAACTGTAAACTCCAATAAATAATATCAGCCCAACTTGAAATCCCTGTCCTGCACGCCCGAGCCCGATGTCCTAGACCACCATCTGCCTAATGCACCGCACCCATAGCTGCAAACGAAAGCGATGGCCGCTCCCACCCAGACCTCTATAGAGTGACGCTCTCCAAATCCCGCAGCACGACAGACATCTGCGCTCGTTTCGCTGCTTCGGCGACGAGACTAAAGTCTCGTAGAAAAGGGGCTGTTGCTAACGGACCCCCCGAGCCGGTGACCTGGTGGGGGTAGATATCAGCTGCTGGGGGCGGGGGCGCCGTGTTCGCAGACTCGGTAGAAGAAGACGTCTGGTTGTGTTTTTGTTGTGCTTGTTGTTGTTGCGCGCTCGCTCCGAACTGCGTCTGGTTTGTACTTGAAGGTAGGATGGTCTGCGGTTGGGCTGCCATCGCTGAGGGCGTGTAGCCTAGTGTAACTGACGAGGATGGTATGGAGGAGTTGGAGCCCTGGGTGTTGCTGTGAGTTATGGAGTGCAGAGTGCGGGCAGAGTTGTCCATGATGGTGGTCAGAATGGAGTTACTTGAAGATCAAGTCGTCCAAGTTTCGCCGGCGAAGGATGGATAAGGACGGAGGAGCGGGGTGCAGTGTTGGACTTGACAATATGGGCTGATTGCGATAAACTGGCTAGTGCGGCAGTGCTGTATTAGTTAGCACTGATTGAATGGCGTGATGGTGGAGGTGATGGTGAAAGTGATGTGAAGTGAAAGAAGAGAGGAAGAAAATAATCATCGGCCGCTCAAAGTCGCAACACGTGGGGGCTTACCCAGATATACCGCGGAATGACGTCCGATAGGAAACTGGAGGGAAAAGTATTTGAACCGGTGATGACGCTGGTATGAACCTGGCCCAGAGATGCCAGCCAAGACGAAGAGAAGAGAGAGTATGTACTTATGAACTCTAACAAGTCGCTGACTTGGTAGATGCAGTCTATGCTTGATTAAGAGGACTAAACTATGCGCAAGGATCCACAGCGACTATCGTCGCCCATTTATGATCGTCCGCGTCGATGAGGAGGATGATTTCTTTCCAGAATCTCTGGAGAAAAAAGAAATGGCGAAAGTTACCCGATTTATACCCGGTACGTATCTCCACGTATCCGTATGCGGGGTTGCCGGCGTCTCATGCAGGTACCCCTGCGAGATTGCTGTATGGTATCGTATTCGAGGGAAGCCTCCGCAGCTTTGTGGATATATTCTCACGTGATCTCAGGTGACAAAATCTTGCACTAGTCTACTTAGAGAAATTACCCCACCATCCCCGATAGAGAATTTATCACTGATAGCGAAATTGTTGCGATTGGACTGCGCCATATGATGTCCTCTTGCAATCGCTTCATTCCATTCATCCCCCTCGCAACTCCATTGCACAATGGCAAATGAAGAAGATTTCGTGGGATTTGGGGACACCTTCAAGGACCCGGAAGGGTTTTACCCTCCTGAGAAAGAACCCACCTTCGCAGAGCACCAGTTGCTCACCGGCCAGACGGTGCGCGTGCGCCTTGTCGGCAGTCATCCTCTCTACGTACGAACACGCTGAACCTCCCATTACTCTCCCTTGCAATTGTTGATACCTCAATCCTCTGCTTTCGCCGACTGACCGTATTTGAGGGTGATCTGCTGTGGAACGCCGGCCGGACGAGCGCCACATATATAGAAGAGAAAGCTAGTTCCCTTGTCGAGGGGAAAGATGTCTTAGAGATTGGGGCTGCGGCAGGTGTCCCGAGCATCGTTAGTGCAGTCAAAGGAGCTCGTACCGTCGTCATGACCGATTACCCTGATCCGGACCTGGTCGAGAACATGCGATACAATGCCTCGCTCTCAGCGGCTATCATTCCGAGCTCGTCGTCCCTTTATGCTGATGGATACAAATGGGGTGATCCGGTTGAACCGTTGACGGCGTATCTCCCCAAGGGCTCAAACAGTTTCGACCTTCTGATCATGGCCGACGTGGTGTACAGTTATCACGAGCATCCCAATCTGATCAAGGTCATGCAGAAGGCACTGAAGAAATCCAAGGACTCCGTCGCGTTGGTGGTCTTTACACCTTACCAGCCCTGGCTTCTTCCCAGGAACCAGACTTTCTTTCCATTGGCAGAGCAGAGCGGGTTTCAGGTCACCAAGATCTTCGAAAAGGTCATGGATAAGGTCTTGTTCGAGAACGACCCTGGTGTAGGTTTGACGACCTCTCTCATAATGCGTTTGCTGACAAGGCTGCAGGACGAATTACTTCGTAGGACGGTATTCGGATATGAGATTCGGTGGGCTCCGGATCAACTGAATTGACAGTGGGTGTGAAGACTAAAAAGTGTATATACCTTGGCGATTAATGACCTTGACGAACCCATACCCGTAGGATGATTGGCTTAGTGGCATGCAAGCATTCTTATCTGCATTTAAATTAATCAATAGAATCTAGAATTCTCTAGTGCTCTTAAGTAATCGTATCCACATTCCTTTGTAGACGTTGTAAGGACTACGTCCATCAACGCGAAGCAGCCAGAGACATCAGCTTCCCAAGTCACATGCCGCCTGCAGTAGCCCCGCGAAGAAAAAGTCTCCGCCAAACACAGCGTCACATCCTCATCCACTGTTGTTATAATGCCGGTAAGTGTTACTGCTCTAGTGTTCCGATATCGTTATGAAATGGAGTTAATACTAAAGGAATGACAGCTCATCGTCCTCTCAGGTTATCCCTGCTCCGGTCTCTCGTACCGCGCCCAACAGCTCGCCTCGCTCCTCGAGGTGACGCAAGATGAACTCTTCAAATCCGGCGCTATCCCCGCCTCAAGACCCCGATACAAGATACACATCGTCCCGACGCATGATCCTTCGCATCCGAGGACCGTATATGACAATGCGAGGACGGAAAAGGAGGCGCGGGGGGTCGCATACACGCGGGCCAAGCGCGCCTTGGGCCGGGATAGTTTCGTGATTCTTGATGGGATGAATTACATCAAGGGGTACAGGTATCAGCTTTGGTGTGAGGCGAAGGCGTTAGGGACGACTTCTTGTGTCGTAAGTTTACAATTTAGATCCAGTCTTTGGGTGGAGACTGATTCGGGATGTTGAAGGTACACGTCGGGACCCCTGTCGATCAATGCATCGCGAACAACGAAGCCAGGATACATCGCCGGGATGCGCAACAGAAGTCTGAATCGCACGACAAAGAACAAAAGGAAGCGTCGACAGCAGACGCGGACGCACAAGTCGAAGCGCAAAGCACCACGCAAACTGAAGCCCCCTCTCCCACTACCGAAGACACCGAAGAACCATACCCTCCCGACCTCCTCAAGAACCTCATCTTCCGCTACGAAGAACCCAGCACTCACAGCCGCTGGGACAAGCCCCTCTTCACCGTCCCGTGGAGCGATCCTGAACCTCCAATCGCGGAGATCTGGACCGCCCTAACCGGCATCCCGCACCCATCCACCTCCACCGAACCCGAAACCCCCGTCACAACGCTCACAAGTGCGCTCGCATCCAGCGCCCTCCTCTCCGACACAGCCAGCATCAACACCTCCGCCACAGCACGCACCCCGCGCTCTGCTGCGCGCCAACGCCCAAAGATCAAGCCCCACCAGGCCACCGTCCAACCCACCGCAACGGACTCCTCCGCCCTCTACGCCATGGAGAAATGCACCTCCGCCATTGTCAGCGCAATCCGCTCTTACACACTCGCCAACCCCTCCGCCGAGGCAGCGCTAGCCCAGAATCCTGACGCCCGCGGCATCGCAATTCCGGTCCCTGAGGCCTCGGCCCCCATCTTCATCCCGGCGCACGTGGCAACGTCAGGTACGACGGACGAGCTTGCCGGTGCGGGCGGTATGCTTGCTTTACCGCGTCTGCAGCGTCTGCGGAGGCAGTGGATCGGACTGAATCGGGCGTATGTTGGGGTGAACCATGCGTCGGCGGTCAAGGGCGGGCTGGCGCCTGACCAGGTGGGAGATGCGTTTGTGAGATTCCTGAATGCGGAATTTGCGGGCGAGAACGGAGTTTAAAAGCTGGGTTCGTTCCTCTTCAAGATTCTGCGCGGTTTGATTTTGGGTAGTTCATCGCATTGCATAGCTTGTTGGCTTTGATCCATGGAAAAGTTGTTTTAGTTGAATGACATCGCGACGAGTGACGATCTGGATATAGAGATAGACAGTAAATTATTGTCATTCCGAACTGACTACTTATTTTTAGTCAAATGAAGAGGACTATATCAATAAGAGAATTGCTATATTGACTTTCAATCCAAGAGTTTATCCACATCGAAACCAAAGCAAAAACCAAACTCGAAAACAAACAGACTATAAATAAAAAGTCTAAGCTCAGTAACCGAAAAAAAAAAGAACACAATGTTTCATACACAAAAGCCTGCCCGACTTTTTATTTTGTCAAGACCAGCCATCGAAAGTGCTGGGCAGCAGAGAGCACACCCCGTCACCACGAATACAAAAAGCTTTTATACAAAAAGAGGGAATCCAAATACCCCTGTAAAAAGGGTAGGGAGGAAATAGGGAAGCAAGGAGGGTCTGTCTCTCCCCTGATGACCTGGGTCATCTTGGCTCTGGCTTCCGAAGAAGCTGGCCGTTGGGACTGTGGCGAGACAGCCGCGCGTCAAGCAAGTTTGACGCTGCGGTGGTACTGGCCCGATATGGGTCCAGTAGTCTGTTCAAAGAAAGAGCTCTAAAATCAAGACGCGCCGATACCAATGAAGGTATGACGAGCACTGCGAGAACTCTTGAACATGGAAGAAATCTCTGGGACACAAACAGCAAATCCGATGGCCAGAGTGGAAAGCTTTCCGGGGCGTGTCTGTGATTTTTCCATGCGTAGAACCTGCCTCCCGGGCACTGAGAGGTCAAGATTGATCATCGGTCTCCGACAAGGAGTCCTCAGAGGGGAAGAAGTCAAAAAAGAAGGAACTCGGATCCAGGAGTGCATTCATGCGGGAAGTCCGTTGGGAAGGGAAGAAGTCTGGCTGGCTTCAATGTGACGGTAGTTCAGTCCCAGAGTGATCAATTCCTGAAGGCTGGCATTGACCTTGTCGTGCATGGAGGAATCCTGAGGGGTGATATTGCTGAGTTCCTCGAGCAAGCGCGCGCGGCAGTTGTAGTAGTTGCGCTCAGCATTCTGGAGCCTCTGGCCGTGGTGGCTTGCGGTCTGCTGGAGAGCCTTCAAGGTGCTGGTCTGAGAGTGCGTGGATCTGGTCCGCTTCATTGTCTGCGTACCAGATGCACCCGTGACTCTGCGCTTGCGTCCGCTTGCCTCCTTCTTTTTAGGAGCGGAAACGCCAGAGGGAGAGTGTTCCGGAGAGCTAGGTCTCTCGGAAGAGGCGTAGTCGTGGACACGACGCATATGGTCGAAGAGGTTCCATCTACGGGGGAATCCATATCCAGGGACGGATCTGTCGCATCCTTCGAACAGGCAAAGGTGAGGGTTATCACCGTGACCGTGGAATCCATGGGCCTCACGCTCGTGGCGGAACAGACAGGCATTGGATGAGAACTGCAGCTGAGCCTCCATGCAGGCAGGGACCTTGCAACGGTAAGGCTTCAGGTGGGAATCAAGGTATTTGCTGGCGGATTTATCAGCGATTTGAACATTCTAACATAATAGCCGGTTATACTCACTGGTAAGCGCATTTCTGCGTAGTCGGGGGGTGATTGCAAGGCTTCTCGCCGTTGGCGAAGGGGCAGTAATACTTTCCATCACTGTGGGTGGGGTAGGAATAATATGGGTGGTCACGAGGGTTCCGCAACTCCGTGTTCTCCTTGGACCTCTGCCGAGAGGGCTCTCTCGCAGGGAGGGGTGGGAAGAATTCCTGTTCCTGCTTGACCGGGGCCTGGGACGATGGTGACGATGTCTGCAATGCTGGTCTGCGAGCACTCTTGGTAGGCCTGATAGTTCTGCAAACGAATCAATATTTGCCTTACATCAAACATCATGGAGAAGTACTGACCTGTTTGGATCCTGCTCGCTGAGAGGCGGCGTGAGAGGGAAAAGAGGATCTCCCAAGTTGATTCCCTGGCTCCCAAGTGGCGTGGCAGTGATATCCTTCAGCATGGCTTCTTCGTGGGTCATAAAAGTCGGGTACCCTGAGTGGGAGCAAGAGGTGGTCACGGAAACATCATTGCTTGCTTCGGTCAAAGGGGGAGAAACAGGCAATGGCTGGAAAATGTTGCTTGGGAGGTGATCCATGGAAGAAGGGTGGTAGTTTCTGGTGTCTGCTAGAATGGTGTTCCATTCATTGGTGGTGACCATGTGGCAATCTTCAGCATGAGAACTGTGTCCAACGGAAAGAGCATCATCAGGAGTGCAGGGCTGGGTCCCATTCTGGCCACAGGTATCATTATCATATGCGGCAAAATCCACGAGGGAAGAATAATGACTGAAGTCATGTGCGTGCGAGAAATCCAGGTCATTATGGTCCCCAATATCCTGGAAATCGGATCCTGACTGGTAGATAACATCGCTTGGCCCAACGGTGGTAGGCAAAAGCTGCTGAGACAAAGAGAAAGAAAGCAGTTGCACCTCAGGGGTTTCAGGTTTGCTCGATGAGATAACACTGTGGTCAAATGCATCGGCATCATGCAAAGCCCATTTCAGGTCGTGAGGAGTTCCATGGCCATGATGTGTACTGGAGCACAATGAGAAGTTATCCTGGCTTGAGAGTTCATCATCCTGGATCATTCTGGGGGCCATATTTGAGATTCCTTGGGTCTGTCTGGTCTGAGAGATCTGGTCCATGTTTTGCAAAGCTGACTGGGACAGAGAAACCCGCTCCGGGTCATTCTTGACACTGCAAGACATTGTGTTTTATAGGTCCAGCTATGACTGGGAAGCAATCAAAGACAAGCACTAGACTGAAAGACAATTGAAGTCAGTAACCGACTTTCATTCACAAACGTTATAGTATAACACATTGCAGATAAAATAAAAATTGAGAGTCCATCCTAAAGATCCAGTCGATGTCCTGAAGCGCCAGTTTAGCCGTTTTGCAGACGTTGCTTGGAAGTCGCCCGTAAAAGATCGTCACAACAAGGGCACCTGGTAAGGGTCGATGGCTAGTCCACTTAGACGAAAGTCGTTGCTCCGGCGTGATGATCATGGTCACCGAGAAGTGTGAAAAGCTCGACAGCTGCAAAGTCAAAGGAATGACGTTTAGCTAATGCTACACGTCGTCGGATCTATCCTGCGGGAGGCCTGTTCATGTCGGTATTGTTATCCAGAGGAAGTTTCGTTGTTGAGACTACAATGAATTGAGAGCGGGTAAATCCAGAGTTCAGGTAAACTGA